CGTCCCCCCAGGGTGTGAGGACTAGGGGTGTGTGGGTATCATGAGCGGGGCAATGCGTTCTCCAAGATTTCGGGGCTCAAGAGACGTGGGTCAATGCAAACGGGGGTCAGTCAGAGCTCCGGATCTTGCAGGATTCGGCAGGGCTGGAGGTGTCCTGGCCTGGGCTCGGGTGCACGATCGTTTAGGATACCGCAGGGTCCGCCCCGATCTTCTTGCACAGGCGCTGGAGCGACGCTTCCATGTCTGTCTGCATGCGAATCGTCGGAAATCAGTCTGGCTCTGTCGAGTCCTGGATGGGGACGACATGATAGCCCGATACAGGAAAAACTGCATCGACGTGCCATCACTGTCAGGCTTCATTGTCTCAAGCTGATCGGGCCCACCATAGCCCTCAGCTGTGCGGAAGGAGCGAGGATTGAGTTTGCGGGACGCTCTTTGTTTTTGTTGAGGCCTCCAGATGCCCAGGGTGACTTTCGCGGAGGCCTCTGGGGACCTTCGCGGGTGCTGTGTGCGTGGCCGAGATTTCCTCGAAGCATCGAGACTGTTTCATGATGGGCGTCATGCCCCGCCCCCCCCCCCATGACGTAACGTCCCTCCCCCCTCCCCAGTGCGCTCCGGGCACTGCCGCCGTGCGCAACGGGATCCGCATAGGTGTCCGCATAGGAGTCTGGTGCGCAGTCGTCGTCGTCGTCGTCGTCGTCGTCGTCGTCGTCGTTGTCGTCGTCGTCGTCGTCGTCGTCGTCGTCGTCGTCGTCGTCGTCGCCAGATGCCCTAGGTGACCTTCGCGGAGGCCTCATAGGACCTTCGCGGGGGGTTGCGGTGGGTTCCTGGTGCTGTGTGCGTGGCCGAGATTCCCTCGAAGCATCAATAGTTTTTCATGACGGGCGTCATGGCCCGCGCCCCCCCCCCCATGACATAACGTCCCTCCCCCCTCCCCAGTGCGCTCAGGGCACTGCCGCCGTGCGCATCGGGATCCGCATAGGTGTCCGCATAGGAGTTCGCATAGGAGTCTGGTCCGCAGTCGGCGTCGTCGTGGTCGTCGTCGTCGTCGTCGTCGTCGTCGTCGTGGTCGTCGTCGTCATCGTCCTCCTCGTCCTCGTCCTCGTCGCTCGTGGTGCGCACGGGCGCGGTGGAGCCTGTTTTTTTTCATTCCAGGCCGATGGCGGCAATCATCCGGGGGGGGGCGGGAGAGGGGGCCAGCGTCGTCCAGGAATGCTTCGGAGTGGAGGACGGGTAACAGCAGCATGTACGTGGCGATCTGCACCACATCGCCTGTGTACACCACAGTTCTTGCGTGCACCACAGCGCCTGTGTACACCACACCGCCCATGTACGCTACAGCAGTCGCGTGCAACACATCGGGCACCACAGCGTTTTCGTACAGCACAGCGCCTGCCTGCACCAGGCCAGCCGTGTGCAACACAGTTACTGTGTACGCCACAATGCTTGCGTGCACTACAGCGCCTGTGTTCACCACGGCGCCTGTGTGCACCACAGCAACCGTGTGCAACAAAATACCACCTGTTGCGTATGGAAGTTAAGAAGGAATCCTTTTGACAGAATGGAGCGCGCGTGGGTTTATCATAAAACATTTGTTTGAACATCGGATTGACAACGGCATTCGTATGGGAAAAGGAGCGCCGCTGAAATCTACGAGTCCTTCCGAGTCCGCCCGCATCATCCGAACTCCTCCCATTTGAGTCCAAGAGGCTCCAGAAAAGTCGGCCGTCCGCTACCCACTGATTCAATAGACCATCCTGCGGTGCACGCTGAGATGTGCACGTGCGCTGTAGCGCCGACCCGCGCGACAGGGGGGAAGGGTGAGGGAGGAGGATGAGGAGGAGGAAAACAAGGAGCAGGCAGAGGAGGAGGATGAGAAGGAGGAGGAGGAGGAGGAGGAGGAGGAGGAGGAGAAGGAGGAACAGGAGGTTGAGGTGGCGGAGGAGGCAGGTGGGACGAACGTCGCATTCTATTATCAGCACGTCCTGGGTGTGGCGTTTAGCTGTCTGCAGTAGATGCTGACCTACATGCTGCTTCTACCTGTCCTGTGCACGCAGGCGCTGTGGTGTACACCAGCGCTGCGTTTCACGCGGATGCTGTGGTGTAGACAGGCGCTGTGGTGTGCGCTTGCGCTGCGGTGCACGCGTGCATTGTGGTGTACACAGGCGCTGCGTTGCACATGGTTGCTGCGGTGTACACATTCGCTGTGGTGTACACCGGCGCTCTGGTGCTCGCAAGCACTGGTGTACACCGGCGCTGCGTTGCACACGGCTGTTGCCGTGTATGCAAGCGCTGTGGTGTACACGCGCGTTGTCGTGCACGCGAGCACTGTGGTGTACACGGCGCTGTGGGGCAGACCGCCACCTACATGCTGCTCGCGTCGTCGTCGTCGCTCGTCGCTCGTCGCTCGTCGCTCGTCGCTCATTGTCGTCGTGCGCGCAGGCGCGGCTGTGGTGACGGAGCCACACGGCGGGGGCGGGCGTTACGTCATACCCCCCCGTGCCCCTTTTCCCCCATGAGTCCCATTATCGCCGAAAAGCAAGAAACGCTCTCATCCCGTTCCCGCGGTTGCCGTGGGGGTCGTGCGTGGGACGGCCTCGCAGTCGGGTCTCATTTGCCGCAGCCCTGTGGATGCTGGGGCAGCCTCGCCCAGATGTTCCGCGCGGTCCCCGCAGGGGCGCACGGGATCGCGCACACCGTGGGGCCGCACCCTGGTCCCCAGACTTCGATTCGAGGCTGGGATTTACACATGACTACCGCCTTGGGGATCCAGCTCATGAGGGTCCCAGCGGGCGGTGGATGTCCATATCCGCTGGATTATCCACCGCCCGCTGGGATCTCAGAACGTAGGCTCCACAGCCGGTGGCCATGGGCATACGCCCCTGCCTCGCACTCGAGGGCAAGGGCGTGGACGTGTTCCTCGCTCGTGGCAGTGCGTCGCCGCCTCCCGCCTGGCTGCGGTCCGCTCCCCGCTCCCTCGTTCGGGTGTTGCTAGAGGTGCCCGTCGGGCCGAGGTGCCCCTAGGGGCGCCAGGTCAATTCTCGCGCCTTACGTTCAGATCAGTGCCTCTGCGTTGAAGCGACGTGGCGAGCACGAGTCGTGCTCGCCCAGCTCGGAGGCCTCCTCCCGTGCGTGTCCTCCGTGGCCGCCCCCCTCCTCCTCCCTGGTGGGCCCCGTGGGCCCCCGCTCCTGCGCCGCCCGAGGGGCTGGCGTCCGCCCCCGCTTCGGACCAGAGGAGGAGGAGGTGGTGGAGGAGGAGGAGGAGGAGGAACAGGAATAGGAGGAGCAGGAGGAGCTGTTTCAGCTGTTTCGCCTCTCGCTCCACGCGAGTCGCACGGCCTGCCTAGGCCGCGCCCGTCGCCGTCGCCGCGGCGGCCTCCTCTCGGGGGGCCGCGGCCCTGGGGCCCACCCCCTCTCCACTCGCGTCTGGCTGAGGCGAGTGGAGCAGTGCTGAGCTGCTCTTCTTCCAGCTGTCCTGGTGCTGCTGGTGGTCGTCGTGCTGCTGCTGCTGTGCTGCTGGCCGCTGTCCTTCGTGCTGCACAGAAGGAGCCACACCCTCGCACCCGCTCCTTCCTGGAGCTTCTCGCAGGACAACTGTCTCGCCCTGCATGAGGAAGGCCCTCCTGAAGCAGTGGGAGCCTACGTACCGATGGACTATCTCTACGTCGACACCGTCGCGCTCCAGCTGGACCAACACGTCGTGCATGTGCACCCCGTCCTCGCCGCATAGCTGGGTGAGCCAGCCCTCGACCGCCTGCTCGGTCTCCACTCTAGCGCTGTAGCTGACGATATTGGGCTCTAGCTTCGCCTCCCACTTCTCGCACGCGCTGCTCCCAGCGTTCTAGCTGCCGATGTTGGGCCCTAGCTGCGCCGCTTTAGCTTCGCCTGCCCCTTCTCGCACGTCCTGGTCCCAACGCTGTAGCTGATGGTATCGGGCTCTACCTTCGCCTCCCACTTCTCGCACGCGCTGTTCCCAGGCTCATCGTTCGCCTTCCGCTGCCACTGCCCGTCCTTCTCGCACTGGTCCCCCTTCTCGCACGCACGACGTCCGTCTTCGTGGGGCTGCCAGTGCCTGTCCGTTCGCTTGTGGCTGCCACTGCCCGCCTTTCTCGCACGCACAGGGTACGTCTTCTTGAAGCTGACACGGGGGAATAACCAATCCGTGTCCCCAATCCGTAGGCGTATGAGCACACCACGCAGCTCGCAGAGCTGCGGCGACCGTTGTGTGGCGGTCCCCACTTATGGTACGCAACACATGCAATTACGTCAATATGTAATGTAATCCCACATATATGTAGATTGTGTACCTGGAGAATAGAAGACACCAGCCCAAATAAGTACTGAAGTACAACATCATCCAAGTGTTGACACATGCGATCCAAATAATAACCATTGAATACGGTTATAAGCTATTGTAGGAGGAAGTGGGTGCCTGTGGTTTCTTGTGTCGGTGGTCCAGCGCACGCTGCCTCATGCTTGCCATAGCCAACACCGTTTTTGTCCAAGTAGTCGTGGTCCTCCTGGTGAGGTCCTCTGTCGGCCAGCCCAGCCGGCGGGTGAGGTCAGCCGTTGGTACCGCGATACCTTGCCGGAGGTCGGCGTTGGCTGTGCACACCCAGTACATGTGGTCGAGCGTCGGGACGCGCTGCTCACCACAGTGGTCGCAGGTGGTCGAGACCTCCTCGCCTTGGTTGGACTGCAGCAGGGCGTCCGAGACCACGCAGCCGCAGAGGACGGCGGCGATGTGTGAGGCGAGGATTGGGTTAGCTTTCCGTGCTTCCTGTGCCGCGCGCACGGCAGCAGCTGGGAAGGGCACTCCGGCCGCCATGGGGCTCTCCCGCCGGCTCCGGCCCTGTAGGATTGCCCATTCGTGGGATCGGAGTATGAGTCGTAGTTCGTGGAGCTGTCGGTCTGTTCTGTCGGTAAGTCGGAGTTCTCCCGCCGGGCCTCTCCAGAAGCCGTCGTCGCTGCGCTCTGCTCCAAGCGATGCCAAGTGTGCTCGGTAGGCGTGGAGTGGCCCCCGCGTGTCGGTCTTGATCGTGATCTTGTCCCAAAGCGCAAGTGCTCCAGGCCCCTGTCGACGTAGTCTGCTGCTCAGAAGTTGTAGTGCTCGCCGGCACAGGTGGTACCGTAGGTCGGTGCTATGCCCCATTACTACCAGACGAAGTAGTTCGGGAGCTGCCCGGGGCCATTTCCGCAGGGTCACAGCCTTTCGTGCTTGTCGTAGATGGTCCTGGATAGCTCCTTTTGTCGGTGGCGTCACCAGTAGTGCCCAGCTCGACACCGGCAGCGCGATGGTGCTCACCGCGGTCCTGCGCAGCCGCATGCTCAGGGGCAGGCACGCAATCCGCTTCATGCGGGCAAGTGCCTCTTCAAGCTTGCCTCGCTCTCTGGTCGTGAGCGTCGTGCGTTGCATCGTGAAGTCGATTCCGAGGCATTTCATCTTCTTGCTCTGCAGGTGGTAATTGTCGCACTGGTGCGGTAGTATCGTGAAGGACTGCGTCTTGCTGTCGTTGGTGCGCAGCGCGGTGACCGACTCCAGCAGCTCCCGCTCCTCGATGCTCCGTAGTTCTTGTGCCTCTGTCGTGGCCGCCGTGCGGTCGTCCGCGAAGGTGCAAAAGGTTGCTCGTGGGTGCAGAGCAGCTTGCCGTCGTAGTGGCCCCATGAGCAGGGTGGCCATCCCGAGCATGGCTGCTGGATCCCCTTGTGGCAGACTGTCTTCAACCAGAATTGTCCGTGGTGTTAAGAGCGGGCCGACCTCAACCCACCTCTCCTGCTTGGTCCAGATCGCTTCGATACTGTTGGTGATTCTGGACGGTACTCCGAGTCGCGACCAAACCTCGCAGACGACCCGGGGGGAAGCCCTGTCGAACGCGGTGGCATAATCCCACGACTTGAAGCTGACACTGCCCGCCTTTCTCGCACGCGCAGGGTCCGTTTTCTTGGAGCTGCCACTGCCCGTCCGCTTGGAGCTGCCACTGCCCGTCTTCTTGAAGCTGCCATTGCCGACGTCGGGCTCCCTCTCCTCGCCTCCCGCTAGCCACGTCGAGGCAATCACTGCCCGAGCCATCCACATGGCCCTGCTCGCGCCGTCCTTTCCGCTCGCCCTATTCCCTGCGTTGTAGCTGATGTCGTTGGGCTCGTTCTTCACCGCCCACTTCCTGTGGTAGCTGATAGTGTCGGGCTCCAGCTTCGCCTCCAGCTTCTCGCAAGGTGTAGCCAGAGCCGCGTGGCTCTGCACGCCCTTCTCGCAAGCGCTGTTGCCGCCCTTCTCCCAAGCCCCGCTGTAGCTGAGGACGTCTGGCTCGGCTTCTTGAGGCTGCCACTGCCCACCCCCTTGAAGCTGCCACTGTCCGTCTTCTTGAGGCTGCCACTGCCGTTCTGCCTCCAGCCGCTGCCCTTTCTCGCACGCCCTGATCCCAGCACTGTAGGTATCGGGCTCTATCTTCGCCTCCCACTTCTCGTACGCGCTGTCCCCATGGCTATGGCGATGGCTAGGGATGTTGGGCTCCAGCTTCGCCTTCCCTTTCTCGCGCGCCCTGATCTCAGCGCTGCAGCAGATGACGTCGGGCTCTACCTTCGCCTCCCACGTCTCGCAATCTCTTGGGGCTGCCACTGCCCGCCCCCGCACAGGCTGGCCTTGCTCAGCTGCCACTGCCCTCCCTCGTCGCACACGGACTCCTGGAGCCACTGCTCGAACTGTTCGCTGTGCGGGAGGGGGGTCAGCAGCCAGCTGAATGAAGTCCAGCTGCAGCTGCGCCTGCCGGCACGTCGCCAGGCGCAGTCGCCGCCACGCGCGCTTCTGGTTTTTGCTCAGGCCCTCCCGGGGGCGCACTCGTGAGCTCGGCCATCGGCACCTTCGGCGGGCTGCCGCCACAGCTTACCTCCTACTCTACGCGCCCTCTGCGCTGGGGGCTCCCTTGCACGGGCCAATCCGCGCGCCGCGCCCGCCGCGGGCAAGACGGCTGCGCGGGGCCACGCCGGGGAGCCACTTCTAGGAGGAGCAGGAGGAGGAGGAGGAGGAGGAGGAGGAGGAGGAGGAGGAGGAGGAGGAGGAGGAGGAGGAGGAGGAGGAGGAGGAGGAGGAGGAGGAGGAGGAGGAGGAGGAGGCGCCCCGCTTTGCGCCTCAGGGCGCTCACGGCTCGATCTGGCTCGGGAAGTGCCGCAGGAAGTTGGGGTCTGGGGATCCAGGCATGAGTTTAGAGGGGCATCGTCCGCCTCCACCGCTGCGCCTGCATCCAGCCCATGGTGCTTCCCGAACTCGAGAGTCAACTCGCACACACTCCAGTGACCCTGCCAACCGACTCTTCCGCGATCTCCACCCCCTCTGGGATACCTCAAGCCCCCGCTAACCTTCACCTCTCCCGCCTCTTCTGGCCCCGCAACCTCGTTTCCCCCCCGCTCTTCGCCGAGATCTCATCTGCCTCGCCCCAGCACCTGCCGCAGGGAAGGGGTGGGGGCGGGCTCGGAGGCTAAGGGCGGGGGGGGGGGAAGGGGGGATGGGCCCTCGTGAGCACTGGCCGCCTGGCAACACGCGGGGCGGCCGTGGAGCACGCGGGGCCCCACTGCCTCGTGAGCCTCGCAGAGGGCGTCCTCACCCACCCCCGCCTCGGGGGGTGGAGGTCCCGTTCGTGCACCCCCCTTCCACTCGCCTGCCCACTGTTTTCCGTCTCTCGCGCTCGCCTTCTTGCCGCACGCGGCCACGCCGTTTGTGCATTGGTATTGTCCACAGCACCCGCGCCCTCGTGCCCAGCCCCCAGCCTAAACGGCCCGCTCCCGGCACGTCGCCGCGCCGCGCTGCACCGGGATATTTTTCCCCAGCCCTCCTTGGTTGGGTATTCGTTTTGAATAGAGCACTGCGGTCTCCAGTCCTTCTCCTCCCTCTCCTCCTCCTCCTCCTCCTCCTCCTCCTCCTCCTCCTCCTCCTCCTCCTCCTCCTCCTCCTCCCGCCTCCTCTTCCCGCTTCCCTCCTCCCGCATCCCGTCTCCATCTCCTCTTGCTTTGTGCGGACCTCGCCGTCCCTGGGGGGCTGCGATCTGCGACACTGTCGCCACTTTCGAGGGCTGCTGGTGGGTCCTGCGGAGTGAGGCGCCGCGGGGATCTGAGCGGGACCTCGCCGTCCCTGGGGGGTCGCGATTTGCGACACTGTCGCCACTTTCGAGGGCTGCTGGTGAGTCCTGCGGAGTGAGGCGCCGCTGGGATCTGAGCGGGACCTCGCCGTCCCTGGGGGGCTGCGATTTGCGACATTGTCGACCTTTTCGAGGGCTGCTGGTGGGTCCTGCGGAGTGAGGCGCCGCGGGGATCTGAGCGGGATCTCGCCGTCCCATCTCCGACATTGTCGACCTTTTCGAGGGCTGCTGGTGGGTCCTGCGGAGTGAGGCACCGCGGGGATCTGAGCGGGACCTCGCCGTCCCTGGGGGGCTGCGATTTGCGACATTGTCGACCTTTTCGAGGGCTGCTGGTGGGTCCTGCGGAGAGAGGCACCGCGGGGATCTGAGCGGGACCTCGCCGTCCCTGGGGGGCTGCGATCTGCGACGTTGTCGCCACTTTCGAGGGCTGCTGGTGGGTCTTGCGGGGTGAGGCGCCGCGGGGATCTGAGCGGGACCTCGCCGTCTCTGGGGGGCTGCGATCGGCGACATTGTCGCCACTTCCGAGGGCTGCTGGTGGGTCCTGCGGAGTGAGGCACCGTTTTGAAGAGACAGCGCCCCGCGTCCCTCCTCCTCCTCCTCCTCCTCCTGCTCCTCCTGCTCCTCCTCCTCCTCCTCCTCCTCCTCCTCTCGTCCTCCTCCCCCTCCTCCCCCTCCTCCCCCTCCTCCCCCTCCTCCCCCTCCTCCCTCCTCCCTGCGTTTCACCCACCCAGTACATCGTTTCGTGGCTCCGTAGGAAGCTCCACCGAAGGTCCCAGTGGGACCGCTCGCATGCGTCAGCCACCACCCAGCACAGCCCTTGCTCCCTGCATTTCACCCACCCAGTACAGCGTTTCGTGGCTCCTTAGGGAGCTCCACCGAAGGTCCCACTGGGACCGCCCGCGTGCGTCAGGCACCACCCAGCACAGCCCTTGTTCCTCGCGTTTCACCCCCCAGTACAGCGCTTCGTGAGCCCCTAGGGAGCCCCACCGAAAGTCACAGTGGGACCACCGGCATTCGTCAACCACCACCCAGCACAACCCTGTTCTCCTTGCGTTTCACCCACCAGCACAGCGTTTCGTGGCTCCTTAGGGAGCTCCACCGAAGGTCCCAGTGGGACCGCCCGCATGCGTCAACCACCACCCAGCACAGCCCTTGCTCCCCGCGCTTCGCCCACTTAGTACAGCGTTTCGTGGCACCATAGGGAACTCCACCGAAGGTCCCAGTGGGACCGCCCGCGCGCGTCAACCACCACCCAGCACAGCCCTTGCTCCCTGCGCTTCACCCACCCAGTACAGCGTTTCGTGGCCCCATAGGGAGCTCCACCGAAGGTCCCAGTGGGACCGCCCGCGCGCGTCAGCCACCACCCAGCACAGCCCTTGCTCCCTGCGCTTCACCCACCCAGTACAGCGCTTCGTGGCCCCATAGGGAGCTCCACCGAAGGTCCCACTGGGACCGCCCGCGTGCGTCAGGCACCACCCAGCACAGCTCTTGTTCCTTGCGCTTTCCCCACTTAGTACATCGTTTCGTGCCCTAATAGGGAGCTCCACAAAAAAAAAGGTCCCAGTGGGGCCGCCCATAGCCCTAATCACCACCCAGCACAGCCCTTGCTCCCTGCGTTTCGCCCACCCAGTACAGCGCTTCGTGGCCCCATCGCGAGGTCCACTGCGGGCCCTACTGGCGTCGCCCGCATGCGTCAGCCACCACCCAGCACAGCTCTTGTTCCTTGCGTTTTCCCCACTTCGTACAGCGTTTCCTGGCCCCACAGGGAGCTCCACAGACGGTCCCAGTGGGGCCGCCCTTTGCCTCAACCACCAACCAGCATAGCCCTCGCTCCCTGCGTTGCACCCACCCAATACAGCGCTTCGTGACCCTATCGTGAGGTCCACTGCGGGCCCTACGGGCGTCGCCCGCATGCGTCAGGCACCACCCAGCGCAGCGTTTCGTGGCCCCATATGGGGGCTCCACCGAAGGGCCCAGTGGGACCGTTCTCGTGCGTCAGGTACCACCGAGTACAGAGTTTCGTGGGCCCATAAGGAACTCCACAGTTGGTCCCAGTAGGACGGCCCGCATGCGTCAGCCACCACCCACTACAGCGGTTCGTGGCCCCATAGGAAAATCCATCGATGGTCCCAGTGGCACCGCCCGAATTCGTCAGCCTCCATCCAGTACATCGTTTCGTGGCCCCATAGGGGGCTCCACAGAACGACCTCGTTTGCACCGCCCACGCGCGTCGTCCACCACCCAGTACTTCATTTCGTGGCCCCATTGATTGGGAGTTCCACTGAGCCCCTGTGGCACCGGCCGCATGCGGCCCCCCCCGCTTGGTAAAGCGTTTCGTGGCCCCGTAAGGAGCTCCAGTGGCCCGCGTGCATCTCCCCCAATCAGTACAGCGCTTCGTGGCCTCATCGGGAGCTCCAGCGAAGGACACCGCCCGCTTGCGTCCGCCACGCCCAGTACAGCGTCTCGTGGCCCATAGGGAGCCCCACCGAATGCCCCAGTGGCACCGCCCGCATGCGTCTCCCCCACCCATTACGGCACGTCCCTCACGCGTTTCGTGGCCCTATAGGAAGCTCCACTGCAAGCGGCACGCACAACGCGTTACTCACAACTGCATATGGTTGGGTTTTTCGCCAGGATGATTTTTCTGGGCCTCGGGGGCGCTGGGGGTGGAAATGGTGGAGGGCCCCCCGACAGGAGAGGCTGATTAACAGGTGGACCCTGCCAAATCAAGGGTACCTCGGAAGGGTACTGTGACCTCTCGCGTGTCCTCTCCAATCAACCTCGACTGTACAGGAGAGGCGAAACGAGCTAGGTCTCACCATTCCCATCGGGGGATGCGGCCCACGCGCGGGCCCAGCCTGCACGCGCACCAAGCCGCCACAGTCAACCTTAACCCCGCTCCTCCCCCCTCCTCCCGGGTGCCGACGTCACCTTTGATCGTGAGTTTGCAAGTCGTTTCCCTTCCCCGCGCCCCCCTCATGCGCCAGGGACAGCGGCGACCCGGCCGACCGGGTCCGGGACATCGGCCAGTTCTTGCGGTCCAGCTGCGCGGACCGCTGCGCGGCCACGGCGCCGCCGTTGCGCGTGCTCGTGCTGGACGACTTCAACGCTTCGCCGCTGCAAGGCCGCCTCGGATGGTCAAGGATCGGTAGGACGGGTTGGGTGCACACGCCACGTCGCTAGGCCGGCCAATCCAATGAGTGCGGCGAAGGTTTTTCGCTTGTAGGCGCTCCAGCATCCCACAGCTCCGGAATCTGGGGCGCTTGCGCACCAAACAATTTGGTTGACCAGACGACTGCGTACAGTCAACCCGCACAGTAAGGATGGACCGCCTTTCCAAGGGTACCCTTGCATCCTTGCCTCCTCGGCCCATCCTTGGCCGCTTTCGTTGTCCGCGGCCCGCTCGAAAAGCTTCGAAATGGGCGTCCAAGGCCCTTGCATCCTTGTCGCGCATCCTTACTATACGGGTTGACTGGTATACCCTTTGATCTCCTCCCAAACGAGGGTTCGAAAGTGCGCGGTGCGAGGGTCGAGGGTCGAGGACCGAGGGCCAGGTGAGGAAAAGGTACCAATACCGCGACCCAGTCCTCACTTTCGCCTGTTTGGCCCCCCACTGAGAATCCCCCGTCGCCAGGGCAAGACTCGCCTCGAGATCCCGATCACAACGCATTCCGGGAGAGGCGGGCAGTAGTGGTATCGGTACATGTTGCTTCCTTCATGTTTCCTTTGAGGGTCGGGGATCGGAGGTGCGAGATTCGAGAATTGAGGGATCGAGGATCGAGGGTGCGCGGGTCGGGGATCGAAGTTCGAGGTTCGAGGACCGAGGAACGCTCTTGGTGCGTTTCCGGACTCCTCTCCTTGATGCCCAGGGAGGCCCGTCGCCACGGCCCGGCCCACGCCACGTGTCATGGCCAGGACGCCTTTCCGGGAGAGGGCAGTAGTTCACTAGTGTCAAATGTTGACCTCCTCGATCCTCGAACCCCTCGAGCGCCGACCCGTCCTCCCTCGCGTCGTGACAGGCTCGCGGCGGCTTTCCAGGAAGGGGACAAACACACAGACACGATTGAGCGGCGACCCCCAGGAAAACATGGGCAAATATGCGAAGTGGGGGGGGGGAGACGAAACTCCAGAAAATATTGCAATATCTGGCGAATCCTGAGATTGGTCTGCGTGTCCTTGGGCCCCTGTCTCTTGGTTCGTGTCCCTGCCCTGCCTCTCTGGAGGCCGCTTGCGGACGCCCCGGCACGCCGAGACAGCGGCTGGGGAAGAAGAGCTGGGTCTGCAGGAAACGGAGGCGCTGGGCGGCCAGGGGCCCCGCCCTGATGTTTCGGTATCGTTTACCCGATCCCCATCCCCATCCCCATCCCTAAGGGCGCCCTCGAGGGCGCGAAGTTGGTCGCGCTTCGCGCTTCGCGGGCCTCATTCCTCCTCCCCCTCCTCCTCGTCCTCCTCTTCTCCCCTTTGGGGGCGGCGCGAGAGCGCAAAGTTGTTCGCGCAGCGCGAAGCGCGAAGTTAGGAGCTCTTGCATCCCCTTCGAGACCCCCACCAAATTACCACCCCAGGAGGGGATACACCCCTCGAAACCCGAAGGGAACGACATATATCCCCATCTAGGGGGGTAAGTCGGCCAGTGGGGCCCAGGCCGCCGCTGCGGATGGGGATCGGTTAAAAGACACTCAATGTTGAGGCCCAGCGCAGTACCCCAACCACTGAGGATAAGATGAGCCCCAGCACGATTCAGAGACGTGGCCTCACTGAGGTCCCCGTCTTCGCGTCAGGGGTAGTCATTCCGGGCGGTCTGGTTGGATGCATCTGCAGAACAGCCTCCTCATCGTCCTTGCTGTGCGCCTGCAGGCCTGCAGCATCCCGCAGCACGGCCAGTGCCAGGGCCTGACAGGTTCGTGATGGAAGCCTTACGCATGGGCGACGCGGCGACACCTGATACACAGTGTGCGCCGCTGTCGCCCGAAGAACCCTCGAGCTGATGCTCTTCAGCATTCTCCGCCACCCTAATGTTCCTGGCCCTCTGAATTTGGTCGCCTCCGGAAATTTTGATGATGAGACCACGGGTCTCAGCGTTTCCTTCAAGGCAGGGCATGGTGACCGGTGGTGGGTTGACAGTGCAGAGTAGCCCTAAATGGTTGATGAGTTTCGTCAGCCTGATGAGGCGCGGGAGGGAAGGGATGGTGGGACGGAGGGAGGGACGGATAGCTGCGGGCTTGATCTCCAAAGACCTCCTGCGGCTGTTCCGTCGACCAAGGCCTGCGGTGCCAGGGCCGGCCAGGCCCGACTTTGTACCTGCAGCCGTCCTCTGTGGGGACAGAGCAGACTGGGTCTCTGGTTCGCACCATTTTCGCCGCTGAACCGTCGATTCGGCGTGATAAGGTGTGATTTTCTTTCCGCTCCGACGCCGCTCGCGCATCGTCGGCACAGCGGCCGTGCGGTGCGCTTCAGGGCCCCATCTTTCTGTTGCCCCCCTGGCACGGGGGCTACTCGACAGGATGCTCGGCACAGCACTGCTCCCGGCGCTGACGCAGCGCCCTCCGAACTGCATTGTTTCCCGAGCATTCAGGAAACAGGCATGGACATAAACATGCTTGCTTTTCGGTATATCTGAAAATTGAACTTGCCACTTCGGAGCAGCTAGTTCACCCGTGGACTCCTATGGCGCCATGTGCCCCTGGCTGTCAGCCCCGCGTGGCCGCCGCTTCTTGGGCGGATCCGTCTTTCGCGGTGGGCTATGAGGCCCGCTCCTTTGATCTTTTTCTCTTCTCTTCTCTTCTCTTCTCTTCTCTTCTCTTCTCTTCTCTTCTCTTCTCTTCTCTTCTCTTCTCTTCTCTTCTCTTCTCTTCTCTTCTCTTCTCTTCTCTTCTCTTCTCTTCTCTTCTCTTGTCTCGAGCCCCGTCGGAGAGGCGGTCCGAGGCCCAGGCGGTCTTGGAGTGGTGTCTGGCCCCTCAATCGAAGCGTAGCGCGTGGTGCTAGCTTCAGCCCGCTTCGGGATCACGGGGCTGAGCGGGCACCTTCGCTCTGCGAGCTCTGGTTCCGGCCTGGCACGGTTCGTCTTGCGATGCCGAAGCCAGCGTCCCTCCAGTGGGCCCAGAGCAGGCGGAGGCCCGTGCTCCTCCTGCCGCCTGGGCCCCCATTCGTCCTCCATCCTCGCGCAGGCGGTTTTTCTCCCCCAGCCCCGGACTTTTCGAAGACGAACAGGACCCACGAAGCTTGGGATAGGGGGCGGCATATCCCTTGTTATTCCCTTTCAATCAGGGAGAGGCTTTTCCATTCGCCGCTTCTGGGTGCCCTGAAGGGCCGCTTCTGTGCGCTGGCCGCCTCCAGGCACTGCACGCAGGGCGCTAGGGCACCTTCATCGAGCGGGAGAGCGCTGCATGGGCCGCCGGCCGCTTCCGGGTGCCCTGAACGCAGAGTAGAGCAGAGGAGGGAAGAAGAGGAGGAGGACGATGTTGGGGAGGAGGAGGCGAACATGGGTATCACCCCCATGTTGTACATTTTTTTTTTTTTTTTTTTTGTTTTATCTGGTGTGCTTGACAACGTATGACCAGCCTGCATTGCTGATTGCTGCCGTGCAATTTGATGTGTCGGAGGGAAGATGGATTTTGGGGGTATGAGGCCAGGGGAAGGTTGGGGGATGCTCTACGGAGTTGGATCCTGATGGTCGTTGTGCCGGCATAGCAGGATGCCGCACTGGGGCGACTCTCGGTGCCCCCGCGCTGGTCGTCAGTTTTGTCGCGCCCCTCGCTGCTTCTTGCTGTTCCCTCTCTTCCAGGGTCTGGTCTGTCAGAGCACCTTCTCCCTTCGTCCTATTCCTTCCGTGACCTCCGCTGCTGCATCTGTCCTAGCATCGCCGTGCAAGGCTGTGGCGGCGCAGCTCTTCATTGCTGCAGACTTGCGACGCATCTCCGCCAATGGGCAGGTCTGCCTGTGGCGATGCATGGCAGCGTGTCGGCAACACTCCCACGCGAGCCCGGCGTGCAGGGCAGAGGTGGCCGACGCGGGTCACCACGTCGTTTCGACCATCCTGCAACAAATCTGCGAGAGCCAATGTTACGAAAGAACAGGGCGAGCGGTGGAGCCCGATCTCGTTTCGTCCGGTAGCCGGTCCGGCAGCCGTTTCGCTTGAGGTTCCCTCGCAATTGATTCAGGAATCGCAGTGTCGCTACAACGCCAGCCACATATTTGCTCCACACGGCCCCACATGGCTGTGCCCTCACCCCTGTCACACGGCCACGATCCCTGGCACAAGAAAACATGGCCGTGCTCTCTAACTTGTCATGTCCAAAAATCCTTATGGATAAGCAGGAATGCATCATTTCATTGACCGATCTCGTACTGAGGTTGCTCCTACCGCTACTGGTGCCAGTACATCTCCGTTACTTCCCTGCGTCTCGAATTGTATGTTGGCCTGCTAATTGTTTCTACCCACCTCAGCGGCAATCCGATCGGCTTGTTTATTTAATCGCTTCGCTCATTCCGCCGGCCCATAATGTCGCACCGTGGTCGCCTGTCCGAGTGGTCGTTTGCAGTGTGAAGCTGCGGCGTCGGGAGCCGAACGCGGGGGAGGAGGACCACCCCGACCCGCGTTTCCCAAGTCGCGTCTGGCTAGAGTCTTGGAGGCGTCCTGGGGGCCTCCTGGAGGGTTTTTTGGAGGCCTCCAGAGGGCCTTTTGGAGGCTTCTTGAGGCCTCTTGAGGGCCTCTTGGGGGCCTCTTAGGGCCTTTGGGGGCGTCTTGGGGCCTCCCGGGGGCCTCTAAGGGCCGAGAGCTCGAAATTCTGTTTCGTGAACCCCCTCTTGGGGCGTTCTTGAAGCGTTCTTGGGGCCCTCTTGGGCCGTCTTGGAGGCCTCTTGGGCCGTCTTGGAGCCGTCTTGGGCCATCTTGGAGCCCTCTTGGGGGCCTCTTGGGCCCTCTTGGGGCGATCTTGGAGGCCTCTTGAGCCGTTTAGGGGCGTCGGGGAACCGAAAAGGTTGAAACGCCCAAATCTGTCCAAAGCCTATGGAAAAGCATTGTTTGTTTGCCTCTTGGGGCCCTCTTGGGAATGCACTTGGAGACCTCCTGGGGATCTTGGAGGCTTCTTGGGTCATCTTGGAGACGTCTTGGGCCGTCTGGAGGCCATCTTGGGCGTCATGGAGCGATATTCGGGCGTCTCGGACCTCTCTTGGACCGTGTTGGGGGCGTTCTTGGGGCCCTCTTGGGCCGGGAGGCCTCTGGGGCCGTCTTGGAGCCGTCTTGGGGCCCTCTTGGGGGCCTCTTGGGCCCTCTTGGGGCGATCTTGGAGGCCTCTTGAGCCGTTTAGGGGCGTCGGGGAACCGAAAAGGTTGAAACGCCCAAATCTGTCCAAAACCTAAGAAAAATTATCCCGGCAAAGCAACCTAACAGCGATATGTAGTAGCATAGCTGGAGGCATGCAGCAGCAGTAACACTCGCAGTAGTATTAGCAATAAGAGCAGGAAAGATGAAACAGTGGTAACAGTGAAGTAGTAGTTGTAGTTCGGAGTCCTGTAATTGCTCGTCCTCGTTCTCGTCGTCCTCGTCTTGCTCGTCCTCCTCCTCCTCCTCCTCCTCCTCCTCCTCCTCCTCCTCCTCCTCCTCCTGGTGGTCCTCGTTCTCCTCCTCCTGGTCCTCCTCGCTCTCCCCCCCCTCCTCCTCCTCCTCCTCCTCCTCCTCCTCCTGGTAGTCCTCCTCCCCTCCTCCTCCTCCTCCTCCTCCTCCTCCTCTTCCTGGTCGCCCTCGTTCTCGTCCTCCTCGTCTTGCTCGTCCTCCTCCTCGTGGTGTGTCCTCTCTCCTCCTCCTCCCTCCTCCTCCTCCTCCTCCTCCTCCCCTCCTCCTCCTCCTCTTTCTCCTGCTCCTCCTCCTCCTCCTCCTCCTCCTCCTCTTCCTCTTCCTCGTCCTCGTTCTCGTCGTCCTCCTCTTGCTCGTCCTCCTCCTCCTCCTCCTCCTCCTCCTCCTCCTTCCTCTCCTGGTGGTCCTCGTTCTCCTCCTCCTGGTGCTCTCCCCCCCCCTCCTCCTCCTCGTCCTCCTCCTCCTCCTCCTCCTCCTCCTCCTCCTCCTCTCCTCCTCCTCCTCCTCCTCCTCCTCCTTCTCCTCCTCCTCCTCATCCTCCTCCTGGTAGTCCTCCCCCTCCCCTCCTCCTCCTCCTCCTCCTCCTCCTCTTCCTGGTCGCCCTCGTTCTCGTCCTCCTCGTCTTGCTCGTCCTCCTCCTCGTGGTGCTCCCTCCTCCTCCTCTCCTCCTCCTCCTCCTCCTCCTCCTCCTCCTCCTCCTCCTCCTGGTGGTCCTCGTTCTCCTCCTCCTGGTGCTCTCCCCCCCTCCTCCTCCTCCTCCTCTCCTCGTCCTCCTCCTCCTCCTCCTCCTCCTCCTCCTCCTCCTCCTCCTCCTCCTCCTCCTCCTCCTCCTCCTCCTCCTGCAGTGAGTGAATGCAGTGGCACGATTGAATGCAGTGGACTGCAGTGTCACTAGCAATTCCTGAAGCGTCTGGCTATTCAAAATGTGGCCCGGGAATGGAGTTCTGGGAACTCGAAGACCAGGAAGTGGCCTACAGTTGGCTCCGGGCATCCAGAATGTGGCCCGGGAATGGAGTTCTGGGAACTCGAAGAGCACGAAGTGTGTGACTGTTGCATCCGGGCATCCAAAATGTGGCCCGGGAATGGCGTTCTGGGAACTCGAAGAGCACGAAGTGTGTGACTGTTGCATCCGGTTATTCTAAATGTGGCCCGGGAATGGCGTTCTGGGATCTCGAAGAGCACGAAGTGTGTGACTGTTGCATCCGGGTATTCAGAATGTGGCCTGGGAATGGAGTTCTGGGAAGTCGAAGAGCACGAAGTGTGTGACTGTTGGTGAAAAACGAGCCCGGCACCCTGCCGCCCGGCAACTCCCCAACACCTGCCCGGACCCCCCTGTGGAGTGATCTGTGAGCTCTTTTGAGTCAACTAGAAACCTATCAGTCTTCGCTGTTAGGTAACATTGATTTTTGCCTCTTGGGGCCCTCTTGGGAGTTCTCTTGGAGGCCTCTTGGGGTATCTTGGAGGCTTCTTGGGCCATCTTGGAGACGTCTTGGGCCGTCCGGAGGCCATCTTGGGCGTCGTGGAGCGATATTCGGGCGTCTCGGACCTCTCTTGGACCGTGTTGGGGGCGTTCTTGGGGCCCTCTTGGGCCGTCTTGGAGGCCTCTGGGGCCGTCTTGGAGCCGTCTTGGGCCGTCTTGGGGCCCTTTTGAGGGCCTCTTGGGCCCTCTTGGGGCGATCTTGGAGGCCTCTTGAGCCGTTTAGGGGCGTCGGGGAACCGAAAAGGTTGAAACGCCCAAATCTGTCCAAAACCTAAGAAAAAGCATTGATTTTTGCCTCTTGGGGCCCTCTTGGGAGTGCTCCTGGAGGCCTCTTGGGGCATCTTGGAGGCTTGTTGGGCCATCTTGGAGACCTCTTGGGCCGTCTGGAGGCCATCTTGGGCGCCGTGGAGCGATCTTCGGGCGTCTCGGACCTCTCTTGGATTGTGTTGGGGGCCTCTTGGGGCCCTCTTGGGGCGATCCTGGAGGATCTGGGGGAGTGTCCCGGGCGTGTCCCGGGCTCCTCTCGGGGTACTTTTGATCCAGGGACCCCCAGGGGCCGCCCCGCGCGCGCGAACCAGAAATACTGTTTACCAGTTACCGGAGATCTTAGCACGCCTCTGGCCCGTTGGGCCGGCGAATTTACCCACGCATTTACCCACAACATCACGTGCCATCACCAACAATGCCACAAACATGTTTGTGCATATGTCCCTTCGGGCCCTCTGATTTTATGGGGGCTTTGCAGTGGTACCACAACTGGCTTTGCCAGTGCTAGAGCAATTGCTGCTGCTACCGACTGTGCAAGACGCGTTATTCCTGTTGCTGCGGTTACTTTGACAGATACTAGCGGGACGCTAGTACGTCTCGTATTTTCGCCCCCCATCCACCCAGGCATCGCTTGTGACGATGACACCGTTATCCACAGCGCTGGTGATTTGGAGGAGTACCTTCGCAGTCAGATCCCGGCCGAAGTTCCAGCGAGGGTCGCGGTGACGCACACTCTGTCGTCGTGGTTCGACGAGCCGAGTGGCCTTGACGTGACCATCGGCTGCGGCTTGACCGGCCAGCGCTTCACCTCCGCGCTTGCTTTCTTGCAGGAGGGCAGGGAGGGCACGCGAGCGCCCCCGCCGCCTCCTGAGCAGCCCACCAGCAAAGGCCTCCAGCTGCCGGGGAAGAAGGAGGTCGCCGCCGTCGTGGGCGCCATGCGGGGAGAGGATCGTGACCCTACAAAGGCAATCTGTCGGCGGCGAGTCCAGGGGGGAGGTCGGAGGGGGCGGGCCTTGTCGAACGGCTCGGAAAGCCTATGGTTTTCTGAGCAGTCTTCTACGCCTTCCAGGGCCGGCTTCTCGTAAGGCCAGAGTGCTACTGAGAAGCCTCCGCAGCCCCCTGAGACGGCTTGCCCTCTCTCCCTTCCTCCTTTCTGGGTTCGTGACCACGCACCAGCCTCAAGGGGGGCGCGACGGCAGCCGGCTCCAGAGAATTGTCAGCGTTGCCCAATTTCGCGCGCGCTTCCAGAACCTCATCACTCGATGAGCATTTCTTTTGCGTCGGCGGCTGGGCAGAGGGATTGCGCTGGCGAGTAAAGCAAAACGGTGCGCGTTAGGCGAATTCTCGAAGAATAAACAAACTGCATACAGTCATACCGAGGTAAGAGATCGTTGTCGGTGTCGGGAGTGTATCGTAAATTTCTTCGTGCTTGTTGGATGTGTTTGTGTACCTCTGGCATGGCACCCTTGGATGTTTTTTGTTTTTGCCGACGGAGGGTCTCATGTTCTTGCAGGCAATTCTTCTGGCCTGGGTCCGACTCTAAACATGATCTCTCGGAGATCCGCACGGACTTCTCGGACCAGGCTCTCGCCGCACCAAGGAGGGGGATTCAGCTGCGATGCAAGACACCCGCGCAGACCTCCAAAAGTTCACATGTATGCTTCCTGTCTCTCTAATCGTCGTGATCATGCGCCGTTTGTTGGTCCTCCCCGAGGAAGCCACCACTATGATTCGCCTGCTGCAGCTCTTCAAGCACCTCCACATCTCGGGGGCCGCCAGAGATATCCCTGGCCCATCATGTCCTCAGCTCTCTGCGCCAAGCCCGAGCGAGTCCTCGGGGCTTCGTCTGGCCAGGGACAACGTTACGGGTGGATGCGCTCAGGGGGGGACGCATCGACCCCCAATTGCCCATTCATCGCCAACAGGCGCTTGATAGCCCACCCCGTCCAGGACCGGCGATGTATCGCCGATTCCAGTTCGATAATTCCGCCCCCTGAGACAGCCCCCCCCTATCGTTGGCCCTCACCTTGAGGCCACCTGGGCGACTCAAAGAATCGGGGTCATCTGGATCGGCATTCGCGCGTACGTTTCCCGCGCAAGGTCGCGCTTCAGCGCCCTTCTTTCCAATGTGGCGTGCCGCGCTGGCGGCCCGCGTGAGCCACCCCGTAACGTTTCTAGGTCATCTCGCTCTTCATGGAGGCGAGCCTGGGGGGGACGTGAGAAGGAGAAGGCTTTTTCAGAAGGCGGCTGGGCTTCACAGAAGCCTTCAAGTTTGTGAGAAGTCTCCCGTGTCTTCGGGGAAGATTCTGAAAACCTGACACAAGGCCCGAGAGCCCCCGAGCCGTTTGAGAAGGCCCGGCCTTTCTAACTTCTTCCCCTGGCGCGCCGCCTAGCTGGGTCATCTGGCGTAAGCCCCGTATCTGTCGATGATCCCCAGGACGTGTGTTAGCCCACTGTGTGTTTTCCTTCGTTCAGCTCCGCCCGCAGCACGCAGCGCACCTCGGCCCTCGTTACATTGTCTGCGTCGCATCGAGGGACGTCGGCGGAAAAGCACACGCTGGCGCCTGCACGCGGTCTGAGGATCATCGAATCTTTCTGTCGCTCATCTGGCCCCCCCGTGGTCAAGCTGGGGCCTCCGTGAGCCCACGGGCCTCCTCTGGCAGCGCCCGGCCCTCTGCACGCTCGGCGCCCACGCCCTTCCCCGCCGCTCGCCCAGGCCAGGCTGCGCGAAGGATCGAGCAGTGGCGAAGCGTCTTGGCCTGCCTGTGGGCTCACATGGATAACCTAAGGAATCCCATGGGTTTCCGAAGGAATCTTATGGATGTCATTGGGAATCTCTTGGTTTCCTAAGAAATCCGATGGGCTTCCTAAGCAATATCACGGATTTCCGCGGGAATCCGATGGGATTTTTTGGAGCAGTCCATAGGACTCTTTCGGACATCCGCAGGATCCTTTAAGAAATCCATCGGATTCCTTGGGACATCCATCGGATTCCTTGGATCATCCCTAGGTATGACATCCAGAGGATCCCTTGGGACGTCCATCGGAGTCCTTAGGAAAACAACAGGAATCCTTAGGAATCCTTGCTACTCAACATAAGAAGAGCAACGTTGATACGAAACTTTCCGCCGCGATTCTCAATCTCGGCCTTGTCGTCATTCTTCCCCGACCAGCTCTGTATTGGCCGTGGTAGTAATGACTCAATCCTTACGGGGGGGTACTCTTTAATATCCGGGGGGGGCGGTTAGTCTTGTTCACCAGAAGTAATTTCGAGCACCAAGGAAGTACCACATCGGGAGGGCTTTCACGCGTCGGTCCTTGGGAGGCGATACTCGGTCGACACTGCTTCGATAGTATTCTGGGTGCTCGAAATTATTTCTGGCATGTAGTCCTGACGCACGATGGGAGCATCATAAGTCTAGGTCTCGCAGTTGGGGTCGAAGTGGATGGTGTCGGAGGGTCGCGCCGCATCGCCGATGCATCGCAAGTGCGGCTCGATGTGTAGCCCGATCCTCTCCACGCCGGCGGCGCCGATGCATCGCCAATGTCGCCGACGCATCACCGATGCATCGGCGATGTGTCGGCGATGCGGCTCGATCTCCGACCCCCGTCTACTCGGACCCCGGCTGGCAGGCATCTGTCTAAAGTTATTTGAAAAGTTCGGGCTGAGACCGTCATGCTTTCATCCATCGGTATCATGTTCGAGGAGCGTTGTCTTCCTGTTGCCAGGAGGGTGCCCACCATACTAGGTTATGTTTGTCCACCAAGCCTGTCCTTGTCACAGTGTCCCTATAGTTTTTCTTGAACACCTGTCACCCAGAGAACCGGCCAGAATCTGATTCACTCTACGTTGTCCTTTGTCGTTTCTGCGAAGCCCCCCCTGGGACAGGGCCCAGGTGCCCTCGTGGACATGCGCGCGGCTCCCCATCCAGTTGTTCCAGGAACATGCCGTGGTATGCCTTGGGGAAGACCAGGACGCTCGGTCTCTGCTCAGCAGGAGGACGCCCGTGGCCTCGTCCAGCAGGCCCGGGCCGCGGCCACGATGCACGTGATCGCCACGTGAGGGCGGGCGCCCAGGACGGGCACGGCTGCCGCGGGGGCTCGGTGCGGCTGCCTGTGATGGGGTCGCGCTGGCCTCCCCCGGGGATCCGTGGCCGAGCTGGTCCGGCAGGGCTGGGCTGACTTGCTTCAGTCCGCAGGCCCCGAGACGCTGGGCTTCTTTGCTTTTTTAATCGCTGGCGCGGGACGGTCGCTACCACCCCCAAGGTAATGATAGCGATCGTACGCAGGGGGGGGCGGTGCAGAACCTCCCCCACCAACTGGTGCTCGCACGCATACTGTGGCGATCGCAGCGCACCCCCGCCCCGACGTGCCAGAACCCGCCCAAGCGCTACTGTTACCTGCCCCCCCCTGGGGTGACGGCCGTTAGCGGAAATGATACATCATTAATCTCACCAAAGGGGTCAGAGCAGATGGGGTCAGGAGATCGCGCCGCGTCGCCGATGCATCGGTGATGCGGCTCGATGTGGAGTCCGATGTTCTCCACGTCAACGTCGCCGATGCATCGTCGACGTCGAAGATGCATCGCCGATCATCTGTCATGCGGCGCGATCTTCCGTCCCTATCTAATCGGACCCCTTTTGGCGCCGGATCCGTATGTGATGATCCCCACTTGAATGCTGTGGGGACTTGCCAGGAGAACGCATCGGGTTAGCGATGTTGTATGCGCTTAGATGTACTTAGCTTCAGTTAGCGTGCGGCACTCGGCATGTATGCATACTATTATCAGCAACAGCCTAGCAAGTATCGGAGGTTGATAGACCTCGTATCCTGACACGTCGATTAGCGAATTGGCCGTTTTGGTTCGCGAGAGGGCGTCGCGGCCGTCATTTTTGCGGGTACAGCTCCGTCGGTTTCGGCATTATACTCAGCAACAGCCTAGCAAGTATCGAGGGTTACTCGACCTCCTATCCTGACACGTCGATTAACGAATTTGCTGTTTTTGGTTCGCGAGAGGGCGTCGCGGTCGTCATTTTTGCGGGTACAGGTCCGTCGGCTTGGGTCCTAGGCCGTTTCCGCTGCGTGGTGGTTTACTAAAGGGATGCTTGTCCGCCGCCGAAAGTATTTAACTACAACTACATGTGGCTACGTGGCCGCACTTACTTTGCAGCATTTACGTGGCGGTCAATCCTGCAGTACTTTGTGTTGCAAACTGAATGATGATACAACGAAGCGTAAACATGCTGCACCCAAATCATAAATTCTTCACGAGAAGGCCTCTTCGGGCCATGCCTGTAGGCCGGTGAGGCTTCAGAATCGCTTCATAGAGCCTTTTTGTCGTGCTTTCGGGGGATCTTTGGGCCCTCTTGGGGCCGTCTTGGCGCCCTCTTAGGGCCCTCTTTGGGCCCTCTTGGACTCTCTTGGGGCTCTCTTGGGGTTCTCTTGAGAGCCCTGGAACGCCTGTTGGGGCCATCTTGGAGACTGTCGATCAAAGGAGGGGGATCTAGGTCCCATCCCGGGGACCTCAAAACCGCCTCTTGCGACTCTCTGGGGCCCTCTTGTGGCGGTCTTGAGCGCTCTTGGTGCCTTCTTCAGCGCCCCTGGGGTTTCTCTTGGGGCCTTCTTGGATCATTTCGCGGCCATCTTGAGATTCCCAGAGCGCATCGGAAGCGAAACGGCGAGACAGCAAACTCTTGACGCGTAGAGTATTTGCACGTCTCCTTTTGTTCGCTTCGTTCTGTTTTCGTCCCTCTCGCGCTGTCTGCGTAGTGCCTCGTCCCTTTTCCCGCTGCTTTGCCCTTGCGTGGCTTAGCACTTCGATCGACCTTTCTTGACGGTGCGCGGCTGATTGCTGCACGTCTCAGGCGTCGGCTTCTCTTTCCGCCTTCTTGCGGCCGTTTGCTGCACCTTACCAGAGCACCGGACACTCATGCGGTGCCATCGGGTGTCTTTTCACCCCGCTCTTGGCGGTGGGCGGCATTCGGCTACCCCCTCGTTCGCCGCCCCCTGACCAATCACCAGTATGTGTCAGGCGAAACCATTTTTTCCCTCATTCCTGCGGCTGCTCGCTGCACCCTACCAGAGCACGGGGCATTCTCATACGGTGCCACCGCGAGCTCCTTCCCACTTCCTGCGGCTACGGCTGCACCCCCCATTGAGCTGCTGGTCTCAGGCGATGCAGTCCCCCATCGCCCCGAGGCTGCTCCCCCGGCGTGCCTGGGCTGGTTGGTCACCAACCGTCTTCGCAGGCGCGCCCTTGCCCCCCGGGCCGCGCCAGGTTCCCGCTCCCCGCCCGGCTGGCCCGGGTCGTTTCTCGTCGCCATCGGCGTGTGCCCCACCGGTCACGGTGCTCTTCGAGTCCAGGTGCTGTGCGTTGTCTCTCCGGTTGGGCTCGCTCCATTTTGCTCCCCCCGAGGCTCGTGGGTGTGGCGACCCTGAGTTTACATTAGTGGCCCTGGAGATGGCCTGATCGCTGGCTGTTTGCAAGCGTTCTACGCTAATGCCTCTCTCGAGCCGGTGGCCACTCTGTGTCACTCCAGCTGAGTACATTGGTTTGGGTTCTCTGTGCTTATTACAAATACTGACAGCTCGACAAGGGGCTTCGTCCACTATCTGGCCTGAGCTTGAGCCGCGCTTCGCTCTCTTTCTTTTGTTCTTCTCTCCTTTTGCTCTTCCGTCCTTCGGTTCTCGTCCTCGGCCGCCTCCTGCCGCTTCTTGTCCTTCTTCTCGTCCCGGTCTCTTTTGTGTGTCTCTGTCTCGTTTCGTTTTCGTTGCGTAGTCCTCGCCGCCGTTGTGGCCCTTTTCCGCGTGCTGCCTGTGCCTGGCTTGCGCCTTCACGTCCTGTTTGACGGCGCGCGGCTGTCCGCGTCGCTCGCGAGCAAAAAAAGTATTTGGACGGCGCGCGGTGGGACCGTGACGCTCGCGAACAAAAAAATCCCCTACCAGCCTTGTTCCTGTGCGCAAATGTCGGCCGTTGCCCGTGCGCATCGTTCCTGGACGCCGCCCGACCTTTTCGCCGCGGTCGCGATCAAACGTATCCCCAACCAGCCCATCCAGAGCATATGCCCATGAGAGTTGACGGGGGGAGGAAGAGACACGCATAGTCAAACAGCGAGGGAGGGTTCGGAAGCTCCGTGGCCATCTCGAGCCGTCTTGGAGCGGTGTTGGGGCCGTTCTGAGCATATGGGGAGCCAGCTTGGGCGGTCTGGGCCATCTTGGAGGTCATCCTGGGTGGCCATTTGGAGCGCCTCTTGGGTGGCATATTGGAGCTCTTTGAGGCCGTTCGGAGGCCTCTTGAGCTTTTGGGTGCCTCTCGGGTGCCTCTTAGAGCCCTCTTGGGGCCTCTCGGGGTGTTTTTTGGGCCCTCTTGGGGCCCTCTTCGGGGCCGTGGAGGGCCTCTTCGGGCCATATTGGACGCGGTGGGTCAAAAGAGGTGGGGTCCTCGATTCGCCCCCTCCCCCACACACACACAACCCTACCCCCTTCGGGGGCCACGATCGTCGCGAGGGGGGTCAAACATTGGCCTTCCCAGAGGCCAAACAAGGAACCTCCGACACCCCGCGGCCACCCCCCAAAAACCACCTCAAAGATGAGAGGGGGCGGGTTCCCCTTTTCCAAAGGGAAGTGGGATTGTGGAATGGGAAAGAAACCCTCGTTAGACCACCTGTCGCCCAAAGAGCTGGTGGGACTCATCCATGTTAATTTCTTTGGTGTTTGGAGGAGTCGGGGCTCTTGGAGGGGTCCTGAGGGGTCGCCGAGATCACTTGGAACCGTCCTGTGGCCCTCTTTGGGCCTCGCCTCTCCCAGGGTCTTGCTTCCTTGTCTTCCATGGCCATGCTCCATGGTCGGCTTCTGCACTCAGATCTCTCCGACTGCATGTTTTTTTCCCAATTGGTGGTGGTTCCTCGATTTCGGCGTTCGGGGGCGTCGGGACCTCTGGGGCCGCGGATTAAAAAGCTCACATCGGATGAAGACCTCACCGTTCCTGTGGAAGGGGTCGGGACCTCTGGGGCCAGTGGGTTGAACACATCGCATCGTCGAAGGGTTGGGAATGAAGTAGACAGCTCACTGTGGTGGAAGGACGTGGAGTAGGGTCACGGTCTCATCTCAGGCCTTGTCATGCCACGGTGCCAGCGTGGACAATTTCAAGTGCTGTGGGGGGGCTGGGCTGCTCTGTTGAATGACCTTGGTCGCTGAGCCTGCGAGGTTGTGCTTCATTCTTCTACCTCCGCGCCGTCTCCGCCCTCGTCTCCCTACCCCCCCTCGGAGATTGCCAGAACTCACCCTGGCGCAAGGCAGCCATCCTTCACGCTGCCCTGCTGGCCCCAACAACAACAGAAGCCATGCGCCAGTCCCTGGCACGGCGTTTGGGCACCGCTGCCGCCTCTGAGCTGGGTTTCTGGCAGGCCGCGCGGGCAGATGCGTGGGCCTCATGGGCTCCAGGGGCTCGAAAAGGGCGCCGGGACCCTGGGCCCGAGTCATCTCTTGCAGCCTTGGGCTCCTCCCCCGTTCCTCTACACATCGGGAGGGTGGAAGGGTTCTCTGTGGCACGCTGCCGCCGGGATCCGGGCCTCCCGAGCGGGGCTCCGCGGAGGTGGGGTCGGAGGCTCGCTCCGCGTCGACGACTCGTCGACGATGCGTCTCGATGCGGAGCCAGGGTTGCGGGCAATCTTTACGCTCATATCCAGCGCTTCTTGTGATTTCTGGGCAGGGGCGCCACAAGGCCGAGGCGCACCGGATACGGATAAGCATCGAGTCTCCAGGGGCCAGATGTTTACCCATAGCCAGTGCGCCTCAGGTTTCTGGGGAAGGAAGCCTGGAACTCCAAGCCGCAGTAGATCTTACACGCCGGCGCATCGCCGATGCATCGCCCACGCGTCGGACGTGCGTTGGCGATTCGGCCCGACCCACCGAGCCCATGGCTTCGGACCACAGTTGGGAGCCCTGCGTGGGTGCCCGTCAGCGTGCTGCTCCTTCGCTTTGGCCCCAGCGCCTGGCGCTGTCCGTCTCCCGCACCAGCATGCTGATGGGTCCCCCACGGCCGCACGTCATG